TATAATGGGGCATTTTCATACATTCCACCCAATTCTTATCAATATACATATATAATATACAAACTTTACTTTTAAATTCACACCACCCAAAATCTTCATATTATATAAAAAATATCATCATTTTAAGTTTCGAGATATCACTATTTTAATTTCTGTGATACCGCTATTTTAATTAAAAAAAATAAAATATGCTTTTGCTTGTATGGCTGAGGTGGTACATACGTAAAAATTAAATTTTAGGTGATGGATATGTAAATACATAAGAATTGATTTACATTTACCCAAAAATAACTGCTCTACAAGGAAAACATTTAGTTCCGCATTGATCTGGAATGTAATGTTACTGTTGTTTAAATGAAAAAAACATCTAAAATTAAGGGTCCGTTTGGGGCAGCTTATGTCTCACCTTTTGTTCGCTCTTTTTACCAGCTTATCCGAAACCGCGTTTGAGTTTTTACACTAAAGGCATGCCGCGGGCAGAACCCAGCGGTCCGCCCGCAGACCGCGTTTAAGGATAAGCAGTTTATCCTAAAACGCACAAACAACCCCAAAGACATCCTAAATATTCTGGACGAAGCGTGAGAATGCACATTATAAGTGCTTAGAATTGGAATTTTTAATGAAATATAAAAATGTTACAAAACAAAATTTTTGAACTTGCACCAATAAGTTCAAAATTACATAATTTTTATGCATTTACTTCTCATATCTAAATTTTGATTTATGCCACCTAACTAAACATGAATATATGTATTCCACTTTTTTTAAATTAAAATTGTGTGGTATAAAAATGTAAAAAAATGAATTTTAGGTAATTGTAAATGCAGATGATTTGGGTGTAATGTATGAAAGTGCCCCTAAAGTCCTATTCACACAATATCAAACCATTTTGTCGCAATATGGATAAATATTTGCGTTAGTAAGACATGTGTCAGGTAGGTTACAGGGAGAGTATTGAGAGTTATATTCGCGTTATATTATACCCTCTATAATTTTCCTATAACGTACTTGTAACCTATCTGTAACTTACAAATATATGAAGTTATACTCTCTATAATTTTCCTATAACGTACTTGTAACCTATTTGTAACTTACAAATATATGAAAACAAAAGAGCAAAACTTACTAGTTACGTGTAAGTTACAGGTAGGTTATAATGAATACAATGCGGATATAACCCCCAATACCCTCTGTGTAACCCACCATACACATGCAACTCTGCTCACAGAAATATTTCTCCGCAATATGGCAGATTCCTCAAGCCAGCACAACAATATGACAACACTTTCATTTAATCTATCAAACATTGATTTCAAACATTATAAACATCTACATTATCATGTACAAAAACTATAATTTTCTCCAGGGAGCAGAACCCTAGTTCATCCCCAAATCATAAAAATCACAGCAATATCCCAACATCCTGAACGGTTTCCTCCTCGATTAAATCTATCGAATATTGATTTCAAGCACAAGAAACAGCTCAATCTTCATGTACAAAAGTATAAAAAAAAATCCACAAGAAAACTCCCAATCGATCCCAATCCCTAGAGATCATAGCTTCGCTCTGTACTTGCAATTGGACGTCTGGGAGGTCCGATTCGTCACGTTCACGATCACATCGCACTTACTGTATGTCACGACGTGCTTCTTGAAGATCCCCAGCACCGTAACCCTGCCTGGAATCCTCGTCGTGGTCTGAAAAAGCATCGATCCCGATAACACGTCCTTATACACGGAAGAATCGCCGATCAATCTCCCCGCAAAGATCGTCACCGATACATTCATCCGCTCCGATCCGCCGGAATCGATCTCCCCGGAAGGAATCGCCGCCTCGCCGACCTGCGAGTCTTGGTAGAACAGCTCGGCGGTGCCGTCGCCGTAACGGAAGCTCGCGTGGTTGGGGTTGTAGGCGGTGAGGTCGATGTCGAGGGTGACGTTGAGGTCGACGCTGAGATTGGGGATGCTGAAACCGGCCTTGAAGCCGCCGAGCCTGACGGAGTTGACGGTGGTGGTGGCTTCGCGGACGCGGAAGACGGTAACGCCGAGGATGATGAAGAGCAGGACAAAGAAGAGGAAGATGAGGAGGGAGATCAAGACGCAGCGGCGGCGGCGGCTACGGATCCAGAGACTTTCGCCGAAGCCCATGGATTCCGGCGATCTGGTTTAAGACCAGCGGCGCATTTTTTATTTCTGTTTTAAAATTCGCCTCCTAAACGAGTCGGGATTCCTTCTGTCAACAATTTATATAGTTTATTTTAGGGCTTGAAGCTTAGCTACTGAAATTTTTCTTGATTTATTCATCTAACCTTTTTTATTAAAAAATAGGGATTTGTTTTTTACCAGCTGTATTTTACGACAATAAAAAAGCTATATTTTTATATGTAATAAAAATAACTTATTCAACCTTTCAAAGAGATGCTCCGGGGTAGAGCTGTCAAAACAGCTTGTTATTCGTGAACCACTAAAATTTGACTTATTCGCTAAGTTAACGAATACGAACAAATTTATTATTCTTGTTGAGCTCATGATATATATATATAGTTGTTCGAGAACAGTTCTTGTTCGGTTCGTTCGTTAAGTTAACGAGCCGAACGCGAACATCACAAATAAATATTTTTTTCGTTCGTGTTAGGCTCGTTTTGACTCGAAATACTATTAATTCATTATATAGATATCTTTGATGAGTAGTATTTTTAAAAAAATTAATTGACTGCAAAGCAATAAAAATTTATAATCAATTAAAAGTATTAATTAAGAAAATATATAAAAAGTTATTAAATTAGGTTCAAATGATGTTTTAATATAAACAATAATTTTTAAATCATGTCCCACCCATTAACATCTTATGACCACATGATTAGGGTTATCAAAACGATTCTTTTTTTGTGAACAGCTCGTGTTCGACTCGCTAAGCAAACGAGCCGAACACGAACATAATTTTTGAGCTCAAAATATAAACGAGCCGAAGGCTCGCTCATGTTCGGCTCGTTACACACCTGCTCAGGGGAAAACGATTAAAGTTTTTTTTAATTGGACATATAATATTTAATTTTTCAGTTTTTTTTCCATTTTTTTATTTTTTTTTACAATAAAACACACTGTAGTTATATATAACTGTATTCCTTAGATATCTAGTAATTTTATAGAATTATTAAAATTGCACTTACTTTATTTGTTAATTTTTAGAACAATATTATCGTTTCTCAAAAACCGCTAAACGAAATATGTGTGAGAGTATTCACGGCGGATTTAAGAGGGCGACGGGAGCATGTGCTCCTTATATATATATATATATATAATGCTCAATTTTAATGATTTTTAATGATATTATACTTTAAATTCATAATAAAGAGTATTTTTTAGTAAAGGTTAACAATAATAATAAATAATATTTTTATAACTCAATTTATTAAATTATAATAAAATTTTGATTACAGCCCTTAATATGGGTTTTTTTCTTAATTAGAAGATTAGCATGAATACAACATAGTTCTTATATATTTAGATCTATAATATTTTATCTATGCTTAATAATAATATCTTCCATTTTTAAAAATTAATATTAGTGATAATTTTTATGTGACATAAAAATTTGACTTTTATGAATGTAAAAATAAAAAATTATATATTATATATGTAAATAAATAAGAGTGGTGTGGCATGTATGTGAATGCCAGAACAAATTTCATTATGAGAAATAAAATTCAAATTAGTGGGCGGCTTGTATAAATAATAATAAATTCTCTTTATTTGATTTAGAATTCGGAAGATGGGTTCGTGGGGACTGAGGAGATCCATTTGTAATTAGGGCTGTCAAAACGGTTCGTTGTTCGCGAACAGCTCGTGTTCGGCTCGCTAAG